ATATATGTATATCGCACACGCACCTTCCCCCTCACCCCCCCCCTTCCCGTGCGAAGCGTACCTCCCCAAAAAGGAAAAAAGAAGATGTTTAATCAACCTGCTCAGAAGCCGCGGAGCGACACGGCCAAAAATGAAACCGTCAGACCAAAAAACGCAGTCGAGCGAGGCGCAGACGACGCGTTTCCTCTCATCCTCCTCCTCCTTGACCACCGGTGATCTCTTCCTCCCTTGTTGTCTTCGTTGTCAGACCTACACAGATAATAAAGAGAGAACAAAGCATTACCACATCTTTCCTCTAAATAACTACGTGTGTGCGTGTGCGTGTGCTGTAGTCAATGGATAAATATATATAGATAGAGTGTGAGAGAAATAAATAGAAATTATTTTTCCCTTTTTTGAAGTGAGAACTCACATGTCGTGCCTCCGAGCAACACACACACACACAGCAGTGGATCCACACACACACAGACACACACGAGGGGAAAACGGAAAAAAAAACCCGAAGTGCGTACGCAAAATCGCTGCTTCATCAGCATCGACACACGTACACGCACACACACACACAGACGAAACAGGAAAAAATTTGCCTTTGCATAGGAAGAGCCGTCATCGACGCTCGCAGAACTCCGCCGAACGCTTTCTTGTTTCCCTTTTTCACTGCTCTCCTCACTTGTCACGCTGCAGAGCCGTCGCGTCCTCCCACAAGCACGCGACGACCCGCGATACTATCCAGCAAGGGAAGAATACAGATACAAAGGAAACACAAGAATAACAACAGTAGTGGGGCGAAAGGGCGGGGAGGGCTGCTGAACCAATAAAGAAGATAAAAAGGCCCTTTTGGCAGAAATTCATCGTTGGAGATGGACGAACGTTCCATCAAGGCAGCGGTGCGTGAAAAGACGCAGCGCACGTACGCCACGAGCATCGACGCTATTCGAAGATAGTAAAGAAGAAGGGGGAAGAAAAAGACTCTAGAATAAAGGACAGAAATAAGCAAAGTTATATATATATATATATAAGAGTATTAACAAACGCTATACGGTGATGGACTTGCGACGAGGCAGAACAACAACAAAAAAGAGGAGGACGCGGTGAACGCTCATCTTTTCCTTCCATGATCTTAATGCGGTGTGCAACGTTCTCTGCCGCGTTGTGTGTGTGTGGCTGTTGCTGACGTTGGTCCCCGCTGAAGCACACATGAGCGTGCGGGGGGAGGGGGGGGGTGCTTGCGAGATTGATATCGTGGTGCCATGAAAAGACTGTGGGTGACGCTGCCTATCTCTCGTGAGGACGTCACATCCGGGCAAACAGCCGTACAACCGTTAACGATGACAATAGCGTGTGCAACCACGGAACCGATTTGCATGTGCGATGATGGCCGCTTGTCAGCAAACGAAGAAAATCGACAAAGGGAATAAAGAAAAAAAAATGGCAACGCTCGCGAGGCGCGTCCAACTTAACTGAAAGCGATTTCTCACCATTTTGCGGCGCTTCCACGGACGCCTCCGCGTTTCCTTTGTGTGTCTTACGAGGCAGCTTCGCCCATCGCCACCACGTCCTTCTTCGGCAGCTCAAAAGAGCCCACCTCTTTGTAGCTGAGGATCGTGATCACCTCCGGTGCGATCGCCGCCGTCGCGCTCTTCGGCCCTTTCGCCGCCCGCAGCACCTCCACGGACTCATCCTTGGGCCAAATCACACCCTTGTAGGCCGCCGCCGGCAACTCCGCCACGGCCGGCTTCGACTCCAGAAACGCCTCCACGAGCGCGCTCGTGTCGGGTCCGGTGCGGGTGTGCGCCCAGGCCACCACGCCGCCCTCCGCGTCCTTCACGACCACCACCTTCTTGTCGGCGGCGACCTTCGTGGGGATGCTCACCTCCACAACGGAGGCGCGGCAGGGCTCCTGCTTGAGGATGGCGGCGACGTTGAAGGAGGCGCAGACGCACTGCTTCCACCAGTACGGGGCCGCCCCGCCGTCCACGTCGGCCGTCTTCGACTTGTTGTACCGCGCATCGCCCTTCAGCGCCTTCTGCAGCTGCTTGTCCTCCTGCATGAGGTCGCCGAGGAGGGCGCAGTCGCTGGCCGGGTCCTCGATTTGCGCCATCACCGCTGACACAACGTTCAACCGCGGCTGCAGCGACACGACCAGCTTCAGTTTCTCCTTCAGCTCCGCCTCCGTCTCCTTCGTGTTCGCCGTCACGCTGGCCTTCTGCATCATCATCTCCTCCTTCTGCTGCTGCTTCTGCTCCTCAAATTTAGCCTTGTAGGACTTGGTAGTCTGCTGCTCCTTCATCTTCGCCTCCGCCTCCTTCTTCTTGTGCGTGATCTGCATGAAGGCGAGAAGCTGCTGCTGCACGATTTGCTCGTGGGCGGCCTGCTCCAGCAGCGTTGTCTGCTCCAACAGCTGCGCGGACGGTAGCAACCTCAGCGCGGCTGCCTCATCGCGTCGCCGCGCCACCTCCTTCAAGTACTTCGCCACGTCGGACGCGTAGGCGGCGTAGTTCGGCGCCGTCGTGGCCACCTTCGGCATGAAGGCCTTCGAGCCGCCGCCGGTGCGACGACCGCCGTTGAGCGACATGGTGGCACGAGGGAGGGAGACGGAGGGCGCCTTCAGAGCCGAGCGAGCCACCGAGGGCTGATGCTGCCGCGGTGGCGGCTGCTGCGGCGGCTGCAGCGGAAGCGGGGGGACGGCAGGGGGCCGTCCCGCCGACGTGGGTGTAGGGGGGGCCGCCGCGGTGCTGTTGCGTGCCGCCGACGTCGTGTGCTCGTGGCCGTTGTTGTTGGTTCTGCTGGCCGCCGTCGTACTCGCGCGAGCCTCCGACGCAGTTCCATTGTTGCGCGACGCGCTCATCCGCAGCTGGGAGACGGTCGGCAGCGGCACCTGCGAGTCGCTCTTCATCGAGGAGTTCAGCGCGGAGGTGCGGGCGGGTTTGCCGTTCGGCGTGCTCAAGTCCTCTGCTGTCGCGTGCACGCCGTCGTTTTCAGCATCGACATGGCGGGTGGCGCCGCTGCCCTCGCATGACTTCGACACGGACGCCTTGGCGCTGCGCTGCGAGTTCGAAAGGACGCTGAAGGCGGAGTTCTCGTCGCGAAAGACGATCTCCGGACTCTGCTCGCGGGACGACATCCTTTGTGGTGATTCGGTTGGTGTCGTTCTTTTAAACTCCTTGTTGCTTATATATATATATATATAACGCAAGAGAAGAAGGCGTACGCTGTTCAACTCCCTGTTGAGGCGTGTCGTACGACGAAGACTGCAATGAAACACCCGTGATGAGAAGGAAAGGGGGGCGGGGGGCTCGCTGACACTCGTCTAAAGGAAGCAAAAAGAGAAGAGGATGGAAACAAAACAAGGGATAGTCGTCGGTGTGTGTGTGTGTTTGCTAAAGTGGAGAGAAGAGAAAAGATCGAGGAATCGACTTCACCAAGACGCGGCGACGCGAGTGGAGAAGGGCGGTAAAGAGCCGTTCGGGGGTAAAGGTACCTGCAATGAAAGATGGCGAACTCCTGGGAGGCTGCGGAAATGAAAAGTGGAGGAAGAAAAGAAAAGCAAGGGTGTGTAATCTAACAAGCCACGACGACAACAAAAAGATTCGCAAACACGTCCAAATAATAATAAGAAATGGGAATGAATAAAAGTAACAAGTCAAGAGGAAAGCAGACGGCAAACTGAATGGCGTGGTGATCCAAGACGGACTCTAAGAGAGGAGGAGAGGAAGAAAGAGGGAGAGGGTGGAATGTGTGAGAGTGGGTGTGAATAACAATAATAATAATAGTAAATGTGAAGGAGAAGAGGAGAGGACGCAGATCTCGCGCTGTAACTTTCAAACACCCTTTATTTTTGTTTATCACAGGCTGGTGCTTCGTCTACACATTATCCATTTCTTTTTTCCCCACTTCCGATGCTCGGCGAGAAGACAGTCCGCAGCACCACAGCAAATAGCACACTGCCACGCACCACATCCGACGCAAACTGCGTCCAGGCTGTGAGAAAGGCTCGTGCCCATGCGCTTCAAAGCACGTCGAGAGACGTCTAGCCGGGCGTACACGGAGCACGCTTCGCCCATCTTACTGAAAATCCATTTTGTTTACTTCTCTTTTGTGTGGACGTTCTCTTGTTTGTGTATCTTGAAAAAAGGGAAAAAAACATAAGTGCTACGGCTGAATCCGACCTCTCTTGCACTCCACAAACGCCTGAGCGTCTCGACCACCTCTGCGGCTTTTTAGCCTTCCTTTTTTGCAGCCGTCACGAGTGCCTCAATGATCCGCGCTTTTGTCGAGCACACACAACGAAGTCCTCCCCCCCCCCCTCGTCTCAGGTCAACTCAACAGCTGGAAAAAAAGAAGGGAGCTGCATTTGATTTTGTTTTTAACGGTGTTGCGGTGCTCTTCGTGTGGGGTCGACCGCATCGAAATCGAAGGAGGCGGAATGCGAAGGCTCCTACCAAGGCAGGCGGGGAAGAACGTCTTGTCGCAAGATCGTCGCCGACGTGCAGAGAAACCGAAGAGAGGTGGGTCTTGCGGAAGCAACACAACAGTGAAAAGGTATAAATAACGAGCTACGTATATATATATATATATATATATTGGCGGAACAAGAAAGGTGGAATACTAAAACAAGAACAGGAACAGGAACAGGAATAACATCGTCCATGCGCCGCTTCATCGCACGTTTCGGCGCCAGTTGAGTCGTACTTAAGAGAAAAAAGATTTGAAAAGGGTAAGGTAGAGGTCAAGGGAAAGAGAAGAAAAAGTCCATACATGAAATACACCAAACACAACGCCAACAGAGGCAAACAAACAAACGAGTCAGCAAACCATCCCCACAACGAGACCTCCGTAAACAAAAAAAAGAAAAAGAAAGATTGAAGCTCGAAGTCAGCGCGCTGGTCTATCATTAAAAAAGGTGAAAAGAGCAGAAGAAAACCTTCCAAAAGCGCACCATATCATTTCTCCCACATCAACGCAATCTCCTTCGGTCAGCACACATCGCTCACCCTGCC